TTCTTAGACTTAACTCCGGTTTGACCGGGGCGGTCCTAGTTTTCAATCTTGCTGCAACAATTTGTCATATTTAACTTCCCGTAGGGCAAGTTATAGTAATCGCAAAAAAATCGAAAATTAAGATTTTTATATATCTTTACGTTTCAAAAGTTTCTGAATATTTTGGCAACCTTAGAAAAAATGGATGTATGTGTGTGTGTGTGTGTGTGTGGATACAAATTTTCGTCGACGATTTTGGTAACACCGATCAACCGATTTGAATAATTCGAATTTTAAACTTTTGATTCGTATCGATAAGGAAACGTGCTGATTAGCTTTTGGCGAAGGCAGTTTCAAAGACCTGGGGCAAAAAGTGCCAAAAACGGTAATTCAGTTTTTAAGAAGCTGGAGCGTCCGATTTTAGTCATTTAAAAAACATTTTAGCTGTATTGACGAAATGAACAACTGTTAAAATTTTTGGGTAGACAGATCCAGCGGTTATGGACTTTCAATAAAAATAATTTAAAAAAATGTCATTTGGCGGTCAAAAATGTTTTCAGATATAGAGATTTTAATATTGTGTACACATTTTGTGTAATTTTTTGCGGGTTCCGTACAAAGATTTTTAATTATTTTATACGGTTTAAACAAATGTCCTCGACATTTTTGACAGTATGGAATAACCGATTTGTATGATTAAAAAATCATTCGGTTCGTACTCGATCGCGAGGCGATTTTGCAAAATGCAATTTTGCCGTTTCGGAGGTATGGAGCGTAAAAGGTGTAAAAACGGTTATGCAGTTTTTGAGAGAACGGATTATCCGATTAGATTAATTAAAAAAACATTTGGTATGCAAAAATGCTCTTACAGAAAATTTAGTAATTTTGAAAATTAAAAAAAAAACAAAATTTTCAAAAAAAAACAAATCTTCGAAATTTTTCATTTTCAAAAAAAAACAACTTTGAAAAATTGAAAAAAAAAGATTTCTTACAAAACTTTGAGAAAATTTTGAAAATTAAAAAAACGAATATTTTCAAAAATTTCCAAATTCTCAAAATATTTAAAAAAACGTTTTTTATTTTCCATAAAATTTTAAACTTTGAAAAAAATTTCAAAATTTTGAAAAAAAATCATAAATTATCAAAAGAATTCTAAATTTTGAAAAAAAATCTAATTTAAAAAAATGGACTCTTGTAAATGTACACATGAATTGTTTTTAAAATACGCTCATCGCCCAATTTGAAAAGCACTTAAATTTACAGTATGTATTTATCATAAATAATCTATTTGAAAATATTTAGAACAATTATTGATTATTTTCATTCTTCGAATGTTTAATTACGGTACGGGACGTTCCAGCAATTTGCCTTAAGGCACGATGCCATGCGCCCCACTAGTTTGCATTTTTATTTCTGCAAAGAGAAATACGATACTCCAAAGGTTCAAAAACAGCTGTGTCAAAATAAGTTTGAAAAACGCCATTCTGGCGATTTTTCACTCGATGCTGCTCTGATTGTCCAGTGGAAGTAGTGGGCAACTTAATTAAAGCAATAATCGCTTCAGCTAATAGAAACAATTTGGCTATGTTTAAAAATTATAGGGGCTTGGTTGATATGTTTCTTCACATTCACCAAATAGTCCTGACCATAAACCGTCTGATTAAAACCCTTGCATTAAAGAAATATGATGGTCAAATTGTGCCTAATTCAATTTTGCTAATAAAAAAAGTTTCATAAACATGGGATAAATGATGCTTCATGGAAGATAACAAAAGTTTATCGATCAAAATGGTCAATACATTACAAACCAAACTTATTTAATTCCACGCAAAAATTGTCCTCAATTTTTTAACAAAAATGCGCACTTAAAATAAAAAATTATGATTGAACAAAGAAAAATATATAAGAATTAGATATAATTATGTTCTAAACTAAGAAAATGTCAATTAACTAAGATGACTCGTTAGGAAATGGGTTTATGAAGAAACTGAAACCAAATACCCAAATGTAACCATATGTCCAAAAATTTGCTATAATTGAATGATAAAAAGAAATAACACAACGTGGAACCTTGAGGTTAAGCTCAGTGAATTACCGCCTAATATGAAATCTTTATACAGCACCAAGTTTAAGTATCGCATGAAATTCATTCCGAGAAAACAGTAATAACATTAGTTTGGAATTCCCATTTTTTTTGGCTTATTCCGAAATTTTACTTATGATGTACAATTTAATAATGAGTTTATCTTAAAAGTTATCATGTACATTTTTTCAGAAACAAAAAAATGTATGGGGGGGCGTAACGTTTTTAGAAATCTCAAGATGGGGCGGGACCCAAAAAAGGTTTGGAATCACTGAGACCAAGAACCACCATCATTTCTAATTAGAAATACCGTGGAAGTAGTTCTTTTCAAACATTTATATAATTTGTAATTTATATAAGTATGTTACTTTAATCAATCGAATTTAAAATGAAGAACATTGTCTATTATTTATAAGAATTGCAAAGTTAAAACTATTTATTTGAAGTATATTAGTGAGCTTTAGAACTTTAACTAAAAAAACAATTAAAATTCGATTTATTTTCGAAATTAAAAAAAAAATTTCCTGCGACTAGACCTGCCTTTGTCAAAAACTATTCACGACTTATTTTTAGATTATTAAAATGTTTTTTAGATCATTCAAATCGGATGTTCCATTCTCTCAAAAACTCGATTTCACTTCACTCTTTGCTCCGTATCTCCGAAACGTCTGGACCCGCCTTTGCCAAAAACTAATCATCACATCTCCCTATCAATAGGAGCATCCAATTTGAATGATCCAAAAAACATTCAATTTGTAATGACGAGAAAAAAGGAAAAGCAGTGATTAGCTTTTGGCAGAGGCAGATCCAGCCATTTCAAAGATACAGAGCTAAATGCACAAAAAATTACAGTTTTTGAGAGAACTAAGCGTCCAATTTGAATGATTCAAAGAACTTTCTGTTTTAACAAAATAATTGCTTTTGGAAAAAAAAATTATTTAAATTTTTTTTTCGAAAAATTTTTTTTTTGTGTATCAAAAATAATTCAGAATTTAATTTTAATTCCGGGTAAAGTTCTAAAGCTCACTTATATACTTTGAACAAATAATTTTAACTTTGCAATTCAGTTATATAAAATTCTCATAAATATTAGACAATGCTACAGTATTTATAATATGTGGCAACGTGCCTTAAAGCAAATTGCTGTAACTTTCCGTACATCAATAAAATATTCGAGAAATTTTAAATGTTTTCAAATAGATAATTATAAATAATGTAACTTTCATTATTCTTGTTTTTTTATAAAAAGTAATATAAACAAAACTTAATCAATCGGATTTAAAATAAAGAGCATTGTCTAATATTTTTAAGTATTATATAAACTGAACTGCAGAATTATTGAATTGAATTATTTATTTGATGTGTATAAGTAATGTTTACAACTTTAGCTAGAATGAGAATTGAAATTCGAATTATTTTTCAATATCCAAAAAAAACGATTATTAAATATTATGAAAAAGAAAAAGAAAGTTTCTTTTTCCAAAAGCATAATCATTTCCTCAACACAAGCAAATAGTTTTTTAAATCATTCAAATCGGATGCTTAGTACTCGCAAAAACTTCAATTTTCTGTACATTTAATTCCGCATCTTCGGAACAGCGGTACCTGCCTTCGCCAAAATGTAAACACCACTTCTACCCATTACGAATCGAATGTTTTTTTTAATTAATTAAATCGATTGATCCATCTCTCAAAAACTGTCTTTTTAGCACTTTTTGCTCCATATCTCCAAAGCCGTCGAACCTGCTTTTGCCAAAAACTAATCAGCACATCTCCCTATCAATAGGAATCAATTGCTAGAAAAAGAAAAAGGAGAAGATCAAGAAAAACGATACGAAAAAGATATCGAAACATTTGAAAATTATGACTCCCAGAAATAAATTTAGTTGCTTTTTTATATTTGCCGCCTTTATTTTTACCAACTTAAATTCACAAATATTATTTTGCAAGCGGTGGCGAGCATAGCTCTTTGGTAGCGTGTTCGATTTACACGACAGGGATCCTCTGATCAAATCCTGTCAATGACTTAGAATTTGTGATAAAAAATCTGTGTAGTTAATTTGAAATTAAATGAAAATTGTATTTGTTAAATAGAAGTTTAATAAAAAATAAGAATAATAGGAATAACAGAACTTAAATAGTTGAATTGAATTAGGAGTAAGAGGAGAAGTATTGGAGCTTGAAAGAAGAATGAAGAATTGAAGAAAATAAGAAGAAAAATTAAGAAGAATATAGAATAGGATATATAAATAGATTGAAATTGACATAAAAAATTAGAATGTAAATAAATAAAAAATGTTGTAGGTGGCTAAATGCTCAGAGTAAGCGAGGCCAAATAAAAAAAAAAAAATTAAATTATTTTGCAAGTGTTCCGAAACAAACAAAATCACAACAGACCCGTGCCATAGGCCTACTGGAGAAATCATGTAAAAAAACGAGCTAAGCACACTACCTCGTAGGTGGCGTTTAAACGTACTTTTCAAAGTGACCTTCAAAACGGTGGCTCTCAGCAAAAAAATTATTGATGCATATTTTGTAGATAATTTTATACTCTACAATATTGTCTCAGGTAATTTTGCGATAAAACCGACCATTTAGCTAAAAATCGCAAAAGCATTGATCTTGTGCCATTTTTTTAGCTCGCATCGGATCGATGGGGACTTTTGAGATTTCTTTTATAATTGCATTTTAAACAATTCTGTCAAGTTACAGCCCATTATGAATCATAGTAACCTTCACCCTGATTTTAGGTTTAAATTGACCGGGCTATAAGTATACTTCATTTAAAATAAGAAAGTAATCAGAACGCCTTAACATTTCGGTTCAATCGGAGATTGAAGGAAAGCATTAAAATGTGAATTCATTATAAACCTTATAAATACGTATTGTAAGAACGCCTATGGATTTCATACAATTACAATTCTCAGTTATCCTTCTCAGCATTATTATTATATTGTCTAGGCTTTTCAGTTTACACCCTGGTTTACACACAATTCTTGGCGGCGCGTGGAACATTTAACAAGGATTTAACATATCACTGCGCACGCGCAGTCCGTTGTGAACTGTCAAACTGTCATTTATGACAACGAACATTTTATATTTCGACAATTTTTGTTTTAACAGTAAAATTTTATATCGACTGTGGTTTGACGTTAAAAAGTGACGCGATTATGAAATTTTAAACTTGCACACAAAATAAATTATTTCTTGGCGCTACCTATCAAATTAACATAAGTTATTTTGGGAAAATAGAAACTGCATGGTTATGTATTATTCTAAATAATTTAATGTGAAATCGTCTTAGTATATATGTATACGATACAAAAAAATTTTTAAATCTATTCAACATGTCGTGTGATGACGATTTTGCTTTAGCTTTGGTCTTACAAAATGGATCGTTCATGGAATGTAGTGTAGAGCCAAGTGGTCATAACAAAAAAAAGCCACCAGAAAAAACTAGCTTAGCAGATCCTTCATGGGAGCTCATAGACCCGACACCCGACATAATTGGTATGTTTATTGCATTTGATATGAAGTTCTTCTGGGGGCAGCTGAAAAGTGTTGTTATCAGATGGAGTAAAAGAATGTACAGTTGCGCTGGAATTTGCAGTTACAGTGGCAGAGGTGGTATGTGCACGATTAGCTTAAGCGAACCATTGTTGAAGTTGCGACCAAGAAAAGACACTGTCGAAACCTTGCTGCATGAAATGATCCATGCATATTTATTTGTAACTCATAATAATAAGGATCGTAGTGGGCATGGACCAGAGTTTCATAAGCATATGTACAGGATAAATGCAGAAGCAGGAGTCAATATAACTGTATATCATTCATTTCATGATGAAGTTAATCATTATAAAACTCATTGGTGGAGGTGTAATGGACCTTGTAGGTCAAAAGCGCCTTACTTTGGCACCGTGAAGAGAAGTTCAAATCGAGCACCAGGTCCCAGTGATTTTTGGTGGAACGAACATAAAATAACTTGTGGCGGCACTTGGGAGAAAGTCAAGGAACCTGACAATGTTCGGAAGAAACAAGTTTTACCTGCAAAAAGCAATGTGCACGGTGTTGGAGATATTCAGAAATATTTCAACAACAATGGGAATCCAAAAGGCTTAAAATCAAATCGAAGTAGCACATTAGTGATCACAAAACCCCCACAAACAAAAACAGCTACTGAACAAAAATATGATAACAAAAATTTAATAACAAATTATGTTGCTAAAACCGTTGATCAAACAAATACAAACATTAGAAAAGCAGTTACAAGTACTAGTGGAAACTTAACAAATGTGAAAGGTTTTAAAAATTTTGATGTTGACTATCCTCCGAAAGTAATTACTCCTTTTACTGGCACAGGAAATAACTTACGTACTTCTAATGACAACTCTGATTCGAAGAAAACAGCATCAAATGAAGAAAATATTTTACTTTTAGTGAGAAACCATTGGACAAATAAATTTAATAACACGACTTCACCTAGCATCAATAACAAGCAAAAAAAGATCAAACTTACAGATAATGTAGACACTAAAAGTGGTGTTGGTGTTAACAAATTTTTTGAAAACAGTAATAATACTGCCAATGAAATTCCAACAATTTTAATTGATGATGATGATGATCTTTGCTTCTTACAAGTTAATTGCCCGGTTTGCAATGCAAAAGTTAATGAAAGTGATATTAATACACATTTGGATGCATGTATGGTAGGTAACTCTACAGATTTAGATGAAAGTATGGAAAATGAATTTACTAAGGACTTTGTACCTGATACAAGTTTGAGTGATAATGATTTGAAGAAGTGTCCTTTATGTAATGTGTTGATACCAAAGAGTGAATTATCTAATCATCTTGACTTATGTGCTACTATAGATTTTGGTGATGTTTGCAGCGCTTCTACACAGAACGTAATGTCAATGACTGATACATTAAAAACATTAGGTTATTCCGAGGATGAAATTAAGAAAAGTTTATATCAAACTAATACTGAAGACAAAAAACCGACACAAAGCATTACAAGTCATATTCAAACTATAGATCCAGATTATTGGAATACAAGTGTCAATACACAACCGAATAAACTGAATGATGTTGCTGATGATGAAAGTTACTTAGATGACTTAATTATTAATGATGGGGATATACCCGATGCCTTTCCGTGTCCATCATGCTCAAAAAGTATTAGTTTGAATGAAATGAATTCTCATTTAGATATTTGTTTATGAATATGATATATAAAACTAGTATGTTATTTGTAATGTATTGTTATGTAGGTATATATTATGATCTGTGATTTTCTGATTTGCCTTAAATTTTTATAATTTATTTTTAAACAAATAAAATAGTAAATTACCATTTTAATTTTTGTTTTACTGAATCACATTACAGTGCACATGAGTATTTTGTATAACAAGATATATACATATATATATATATATATATACTTTATATATATATATATACTAGCTAACCCGGCAAACTTTGCTTAAGTAAGGTATATTCTAAACAGTTTTTAGAGAATCAAAAATAATAATACTTTAAGTGTATAGGGATGTGTTGTTTAAATGCTATATACAATGAAGTATTATAAAAACATTAAACCCCATTAGTTTGTCTGTATTTTGTCAATACAATCAAACTGGAAGATTTATACACTTTCTATAGAAAACATGGTATAATCCATTCCAAGTCTTTTTTGGTCTTTCGACTTATTGATCACGTTTCAAGTTTTTCAGATTTTTTTTGGATTCTGTATTTTGTATATAATTGTAAATAATACTACTGAGCTGTTGAAAAAAAATTAAATTTTTGCGAGGAGATAGAAAATGAATTAAATATTTCATTTTTGACCTGCTTTTTTAAAAGTTTCAAATAACATTTGATGAATTAAAGTGAATTTAATAAGAAGTATATATTTAGAGCAGGGCCAGGCACAAAGGTCCAATTTGACTTCGAGCAAATATAAATTATATTGTGAAAACAATAACAATTATATCACAACAAAAATCAAATTTCAAACGAAAAACTATCTGACTATGTTCAGTAAACTGCCTTTAAAATGTCTTTCAAAAATTTGTTATCTAGAGCTTTTTACCCTATAGGTGGGGTATAGTGCTAAAAAACTACCAACGGAAGAAAATACTTTTATTATGGATTTTCAAAGATTACAGTTTATCTCCAGGTAGCAAAGTCATAAGAATCAAGGTTATAGCTGGTTATACATCTTTTTCCCTCTAGTTTTCAATTCCTTGTTAAACAATGCTTAACTTTACTGGTATTTGACACATCGCTGGTGGACCTTTTTAACCCCGGACCTTCATATATTACTATCTATTCCTCGATAAATGCTGCGAAATTATAATTGTGAAAATGTTATTCGGCAAAATGTTCCTTTGATCGATACCAAATTTAGGTTTTGAATTTGAATAACATAAATAAAAAATAATATAACCTAGAAAATGTTTTATAAATACCAATGAGTATATAATTATACAAATGAGATCTATCAGAGCACCGTGTTTGAGAAAAATATGCCAAAAATTGCATTTCCATATTAACATTTCAAAAAAGTTGATTTTTAGTTTCTAGTAACACTTGCGGCACGTTTACTAACGTTTTTGAATATAAATAAAAGTACAAACAAAACTACTTACCACAATTTAATCATAATTAAATAATATTCACGTTTTCGAGTTTTACTTGGACATTTGAAAGAGAGCTCCATTTTTATATATAAGATATGTATATATATATATATATATATATATATATATATATATATATTGTTGTGCACCCTTGGGCTAACAAGAAATTATGTTGTGGATCCGTTGCCAACAATTATGTTGCGTCACGCCAACGATGTCAACATTTATAATTAGGTTCTTCTGCTGCTAACGCTTTTATTACTGTGGAAATATTTAATTAAACATTTGAAGACGTTTATTAACTTTATTACTTCATTATTCGGTTACACTTGATTACAACTTAATACACAATTAATATTTTGAAATAAGACTGATGTGAACTGAATGTGATGTTTGGCGACTACACTAGAATGAACCTGATTCCGTCGTCCTCAGGCTTTTTATAATCTCTGATGATGACGTAACCATCCTTCCAGAAATGTTCGTTACGAATGACTCAACTTATTTATTTTAGACGCAATTTGTGGTTACAGACCGTTATTCTGACATGCACAGCGTCTTATCTCCGATACTTTGTTGCATACAATATTGCAAGACTCTGAGCTGTGAGTCAGCAACGTACGAGTATATATTGCGTCTTTCATACTGACTGTTATATAGAATTTATAATATTATTTATAATTATTGCAAAGGGATGGATAGTACTACAATATATATATATATATATATATATATATATATACTGGCTCACCCGACAGACGTTGTTCTGTACCCACGTCTACAATTTTACAATATATTATACTAATATTTACTGCTTAGTTAAAAATAATAATTACTGTTTTTTGAATTACTATTTACACCAATATATGAGTGATGTTGAATGTAGAACTGTTTCAAATAAAATGATTCTTTTCAATTCCCACAGTTAACACTTTAATTATTCATTTAACAAATATTAAAAAATGTTCAATAAAATTGTATATTAAAAATTATACAATGCGATTTATAGAATATATATGCGGCATAATACTATATAGCATAATTTTGTTGATCGTAAGTTGAATAGAGCACATGTGAACAGGATTTGACAAATTAATTCACTTCAAATATAAACTTAAGCAATAATGTATATTGATATATTAGTGAAAAAAATGTAATTTAGATATTAAAATTACTAAAAGCCAGTTAAAATATGGTACAAAATTATAAAAATTACAGGCAACATTATTGAAGCAATTATTTTGGGTAGAAAAATAAAAGGTGATATTGCACCTTTGCCGCGAATGCTATATAGTAATTCTTTCTGAATTTGTTGTACTTTTTAAAAGATTCCAATTTTCAACACGTGTATTTTATGCTATGACCATAAATCACAATCACAATCACAAATCACAATCACCCTTAAATGCAATAAAATAAATTGAGCTATTGGAAATTTTGTTCTATAAATCGCAGTGTATAATTTTTAATATACAATTTTATTAAACATTTTTTAATATTTGTGCTCTGTGAATTTTTTTACTGTGCTCCAATTTACTTGATATTTTGGAAATAGGCTAATCTTTATCTTAAGTTCAGAAGTGAAAACAATTTGCACTTCGTCACCATCCACCGCATTAATTGGATTATTACTTTTTTAATTCCGATTTTATCAGAACTTGTAATACACTATTTTAAAGGTGATTAAATGAGCTACAACTTTCTTTATCATAAATTTTACCGTAACTTCTCTTATTGTGAAACGGCGAAGGGTTAAAGGGCTCGCAAGACCTCTGGTTGGACAGCCGCGCACTCCTTAATTAATACCTCTATCAATATTTGTATAATGAAAAAATAATAAACAACAATAATTAGTCAGAAAAATACCTCGAATTTTCATATATATATATATATATTATATATATATATATATATATATATATATATATATATATATATACGAGGTGTGTTCAAAAAGTACCCGGAATTACTAATAATTAAATTTCGCGGGTCTGGAGTGTCTGATTGTCAAAATTTTTTTTTATTGTGTTGGTATACATGCCCCTAAAGTATGATGAAATTTTCAGCTATATTCACTGTTTACTTTGTCTGTGGTAGTCGCTAAGGTTCGACGTGTTTTTCTGAGCTCGGCGATTTTTACAATGGAAGAATTGAAAAGTCAAAGAATTTGTATTAAATTTTGCGTAAAAAATGAAATAAAGTGTTGCAAAGTGCAAAAATTCACCAGATATGGCTCCGTGTGACTTTTTCCTATTCCCAAAGTTGAAGAGACCCATGAAAGGACGGCGGTTTTCCTCGATTGAAGAAAATCGCTGAGAGTGCTCAAGGACATATCAAAAAGTGAATATCAAGGGGCTTCGAAAATTGGAAAAAACGCTGGCATAAGTGTATTACATCTGGGGGGGACTACTTTGAAGGGGACCACATTAATGTAGACGAATAAATAAATATTTTTTTGAAAAAACGAAAATTCCGGGTACTTTTTGAACAGACCTCGTATATATATATTGAATTGTCCTGACTGGTGGTTGATATATTGGGAGGTATGTTCTGGATCACCAGTACGACCAGGAATTGTAATGATAGGCTAGACCCGAGCGGTGAACAGTTGAATAATTGTTGAAATATTATATTTGTGATGTGGACTCTCCAGAGTCCATTGGTAGTGTGAAAGGCCTTTAGGACGAACAGCGATTTGATAGTAATTTGTAAACACACTTCTTTCTTCGAATGATACTTTATTATTCACTATTGTTACAATTAATATTTGTTGATAACCTTTTGGTTATCATAGCAGCAAAGACTACATTTTACTGAATACTATGTCTGGCTCCAAGCTTGACTCCAAGCTTCTCTCCAGGTTTGACTGCCTGTCTAACTTTTGTCTAACTCTTATATACTAAATTATTGTTTACAACCTATTTACAAAATCCAACAGTAAGCACTTCCGATGTCCGCGTAACCTACATATAACTAGCAACGCGTTTTGTAATTATTAAACAAAATAATGATTCGAATTGTTATTACAGTTCAACCTCCCTCTTCAAAAGTTTTTCGTCCTCGGAAAACTATAAAAATTGAGAAAAAAATTAAGAAAAATGAGTTCCATCTCTTCTTCCTTCGGCCCTTAAAAACTTTTGTCCTCAAAAGTGTCATTACTGTTAGAATATGTTTACAAATATATGTGCTCTGAAAAAGAAATCTTATAATAATTTTATTTTTATCTCTACATTAATAAATCTTTAATAACATACATAAAAAAAAAATCAGCAGTTGAATGCAAATTAGATGGTCGCTGATTATGTAAAGGCATCACTGAAATTTAAAATGTTATTCCGGTAAAACAAAATATGCTTCGAACAACTTACCATAAATGATGCGAAATAATTCATTTTTTTTTTCAAAACTTCAATAGAGCATAAAAATCATAATATGAAAATGTCTTTAAAATCTGCAAAAAAATATTAATGGCGTAAAGAATCTTGCATTTGATATCTTAAATCATAAATAGTAATTAATGAAAATTTAAATTTACGTTGTATTGTTAATACTTGATACATTAGAATTTTGCTAGGTAATCAAAATTGAACAAATGTTGCTTTGAAACATGAGAATTCGCTTATGTCAACCAAACAAATGACTTGCGTTGTTATTACTGTGTTTACACCTGGCGAGTTTTCAGTTTCTTCCGGTATTTATAATTAAACAATTTTGGTGCTGTTCTGAATATAATAAAATCGGGAATGTTTCTCCTCTTTACATGTGTTGGCGACGATATCAATTTTCTGCTGCTTTGGTTTTGTAAATGTGCATATTTCTCCTTTGTGTTCAAATTCATATTCTTATAGTTGAACATATCTGTCATAGTGGCTATATTTTTATTTATAGATAATTTCCGTTGTGAAGGTATTTTTCTTATCATATTAATATTATATTCCCTGATTTCTTGATTATTTTCTTCTATAATTTCATCATTAATTTTTCTTCTTTTAATATTTCCTTTCTTTTTCTTTTTCTTCTTTATTTTAATGGGAATAGTTTTCATATATTCTGGTCCTTCATCATTAAGTATTCTTATTTCTACTTGTTTATCATTAATTTCTTTCATGTCGTAAACCTCATCTTGGGTTTGTTCCATATCTTGTGCCACATATATGTTCAGATCCTTTTCTTCTTCGTATGAATTTGTTCGTATGGTTTGCTCCATATCTTCTGCCTCATATAGATTCTTTTCTTCTTCGTATGAATTTGCACGTATGGTTGGTTCCATATCTTGGTCCACATATAGTTCCTTTTCTTCTTCGTATGAATTTGCAGCGATTGTCGTCAACTCTTCTATTTTGGTGTTGTGAGTCAAACTTTCTTCTTTGTATTCTTTTTGTTCTTCGGATTCTTCGGACTCTTCGGACTCTTCGGACTCTTCGGACTCTTCGGACTCTTTGGACTCTTCGGACTCTTCTTTAGTTGTTATGAATGCCTTGTATGTATCATCATATATTTTTGTATATTTCAGATCCTTATTACTTTCGTAGTCCATTCTATCGTCATTTCCACCATTGTAGATTCTAGGTTTGTCATCTCTTTTCCTATTTGTAAGTTTTCGACATTGGTTAATGTGGTGTCCCCTTTTCTTGCAGTATCTGCAAGTGACGAATGGGTTGTATTTTTTATCGGATCTGATGTTTAAATATTTTTCTTCATTTGCAGCGATATTCCTTGCATCCTTCAAATTTTCCGGTTTGGCTGCTTTAACTATAATTTTCAAGTGAAATGGTAGGCCTTTAACGAAAACGGCCAAAGCCAAGTCACAATATGATGGATACGCTATTTCATTTTGTGTAAAATAGCATTCGTTGTTTATTAACGTAAGCAAACTCTCAAGTTTCTCTGCAAATTCCTCAATCGATTCCCCATTTTTTCTTGTTGTTGTTGCTAGCTCGTGATGTAACTCAGCGATGGACCTTCTATCTTTAAAACGTTTAATTAGAATAGGTTTGACATTATTCCATAACTGATAATCAGCCCGTCTAATGCAATCAAAAGCTGTTCCACTTAATTTACAAATAACAATTTTTGATATAAATTTGTAGGTCTCAAAATCCACGTCATCTAAAATTGAGTCTACAGTACTTAAAAATCTATAAAGGTCATCTGAATTGCCATTAAATTCGGGTATAGTGCTAATTGCTAATTGAATTCTAAATTTATTTATTTCTATACTATTATCTTTACCTTTTCTAGCTTCTTCAAAAATGGGTTCCATCTTGAGATATGATTATATTTCGATTTGCTTACTTGAATCCGATGAGATAGTTATGTCCAAGTTAGTCGTAGTCTCGTGTTCGTTCTAAAGTTCTTCGGTAGGCGCCACCATCCCTTAGTTTGTGCTGCGAATGATCGTTTGGTTTGTCGAGTTGTGGCAGCTTTGAACTCGATGTCTCCGTCAGAAAATTCTTCAGCGCTACGAGGGAAAAAACCGCTAAGCCACCATGAATTGTCCTGGTGTGGTTGGTAGTGTATTTGGATGTATGTTCTGGATCACCAGTACGACCAGGAATTGTAATGATAGGCTGGACCCGAGCGGTGAACAGTTGAATAGTTGTTGAAATATTATATTTGTGATGTGGACTCTCCAGAGTCCATTGGTAGTGTGAAAGGCCTTTAGGACGAACAGCGATTTGATAGTAATTTGTAAACACACTTCTTTCTTCGAATGATACTTTATTATTCACTATTGTTACAATTAATATTTGTTGATAACCTTTTGGTTATCATAGCAGCAAAGACTACATTTTACTGAATACTATGTCTGGCTCCAAGCTTGACTCCAAGCTTCTCTCCAGGTTTGACTGCCTGTCTAACTTTTGTCTAACTCTTATATACTAAATTATTGTTTACAACCTATTTACAAAATCCAACAGTAAGCACTTCCGATGTCCGCGTATCCTACATATAACTAGCAACGCGTTTTGTAATTATTAAACAAAATAATGATTCGAATTGTTATTACAGTTCAATATATATATATATATATATATATATATATATATATATATATATATACTTTTATACGTATTCTTTCAGAGCTTTTATAATGAGAAATTGGATATTTTTTTTTTGTTTTTTTTTTATGAAATCATAAGTTTTTTGAAAATCGTTTGTACTAAAGTTGTGATATTTTCTAGAATCCATCAAGATCTCTTAAACCAAGTTAATTCTAGATGGAATACGATTATTTTTAAATTTGGTGGAAATGGCACTGAAAAACTATTTTATTTATCTTCTCGTCTCGTCTCGTCTTTTATTTGAATGATAGTTTACTCATTTTACACGCAGAAGTACTCAAAGCTTATTTTGAGCACTATAAAAACCCATTTTCATATCTAGCCTGATAATGTTCCTAAAACACTATAAAATAGCGATTTATTAAGATTTTAATTGATATAATTTTGTTCATTACATGATTTTCGCTAAAATGTATATTTTTGAAGATATTAGCAAAAAATGATGAAAAACGCAAAAAAGAAACAAATTTTCAGTAGCCAGTAACTTGAAAAGTATTTGCTTTTTTGAAAAACATTATTAAACATTTTTCTCTTATAATTAGTTCTTTTATCGATACCCAACGTTATTTTGAAAAAAGTAAAATTACACCACTGAAAAGAAATGTTATCCACCCGAGAAGTTTTAAAGGAGTCTAAATTGTTTTCACTTCTGAAGAGTAAGATAAACCTAGTTCCAAAATTCCAAACGAAATGGAAAATAGTAAAAAAAGTTCAGACCGAAAGCGCTCCATTGAGTAAATATTCCGTACCCAATGACAATAATATGAATTTTTGACACAATGAAACTTCTAAATAATTTTTTTTGTATAGTGACTTTGTATAGTAAGGCAAAACGACTGCAAATTTGATATTTTTGAGCGCAATCACTTATGGCTCCTTTGCACGAATTCGTACGGCGAATCTGTTCGCAAAGTGCGCAGACAAAATGATTACGCGTACGTTGAGAACATGATTCGCCGTGCGCGTCAGACGCATGCGCAGACCGCATCACTTGTCACATACATGAATGTTATATTATTTGCATCTTATATTAATTTAATTTTTGGCACATCTCAGCTGCTTTTCGGCATTAATAATGTAGACATTACATTCTCCTTAATCATAATCATGAATTTATTATATTTTAATATTGCCTTAGCCTATAAGTGAACAGAAATGTTTGGCAAATGACAGTCTTCAATTGTTTTTAAAGTCAAACTAAGCTTCAAATATTTTCAAGGGCAAACAATGATAAGCGGTTTTTTATAATTTTTTCCATTTATTTCTACAATCTAACTATATTTCTATGAATCAAAACATTCTAGAAAATTTCCCGAACAAACTTCAAGAAGATTCATGAATATCCGAATTATAGTTTAGGAGGAATTATGAAACTTACATTGTTACAGAAGAATTTTATATATAAGATATATATATATACATATATATATATATATATATATATATATATATATATATTGTATATACTTTTTGTTACTGAACGAAGATAAGGACCAGCTGAAACATATGAATTATTGGCACTGGATCATTAGGATACGGTTGTACATAACAAAATAAAAATAAGGGATATATATTGTTGTGGTATTCACCCTTTACAATAGTTATAAATAATATTATAAATTTGATATAACAATCAATATGAAAGACGCAATACGTTGTTGGCTTACAGCTCATAGATTGTATCAGAGATAAGAATGACGCATGACCGTTGCAACATTGTATGCAAGTCAGTAACGGTTTTGTAGGGTTTTGCGTCTAAAGTAAACAAGTATGAATCATTTTTAACGTATTTTTCTGGAAGGAGAATTGCGTCACCATCAGAGATTATAAAAGCCTGAAGAGAACAAAGTCAGTGCTTATTTGTTGACTAAAAGCCAAACAGTTCACATCACTTTTATCTAAAATATCAATTGTGTATTAAGTGTAACCAAGTAATGAATTAAATAAAATTTATAAATGTCTTCAGATTTTTAATTAAATATTCCACAGTGAAAGCTTAGCAGCAGAAGAACCTAAATTTTAATTGTTGGCATCGTTGGACGCAACATAACTGTTGGTGACGGCCTCAACATAAATTGTTGTTAACCCAGGGGTGCACAACATTATTTGGTGGCAGTGTGGGATTCTGCGAATTTTTTTTTTTAAAAATGCTAAATTATTTACCATAACATGTTTTGAACATAGAATTATTGCATATTTGGAAACCGGATATTTGAGAAAATACGCCGAAATATAGCAATAATTAGATTCAAGAAAAGGTAAAAAGCTTTACTGGAAGTGGGAATATTATTGAAATTACAAAGTGAAGACTCCAAAAATCAAGAAGTAAGAAAATAGAAAAATCGTAACAAGAAGAAACAAGAATATCAAATCAAGAATCAAGAAACAAAGAAAGAGAAAGAAGATAATATAAATCAAGAAGAAGAATCAAGAAGTTCAAAGTGTTATATTTAGAAGTGAAAAGTTAAGGTGAAAAATAAAATAAAAAGTGTTATGAAAAAGTGATATAATCATTGTTCAAGGTTACAAAGTTTAAGTGATTGTGAATTCGAGTGAACCAAAAGGATATTAAATTAAGAAAGAATTACAACTCATTGTCAGTAAGCTTATTTTTAATATATTTTTGTAAATTTTTGCGCTTCTGTTTCAATAGTTTTACCCATATTTTTTTTTCAAAAATGAATGAACCAGTAGATATGTCGCGCGAAGGTAAATTAAATATTCAAACTGCTATCGCTTTAATTCCGAATTTCAATGGGGAACCTTCAATGCTTCCTTCATTTATTACTGCTTGCGATGCATTGTCGGTGGATTTGAATCCATCAGAAGCGGAAAAATTGCTTACAGTTATAAAATTAAAATTAGACCCACAAATTTTTGCAAAGATCCAATTTATTAATTTTGAAACGTGGGAAGATTTAAAATGTTATTTAACTAAAGAATATGTTGTAAAACGACCCATTTCTAGTTTATTAAACGAATTGAATAATTTAAAACAAAAATATAACGAAACAGTAAAAAGTTTTGGAGACAGAATAGAAGAAATTTTGCGACAAATTTATTATTCAAATATAAATTCAATTGGACAAGACGCAGCGAACATTACACAAGTGACATACGTAGAAATGAGTGTAAAAGTTTTTGAAAATGGCTTAAGAGAACCGTTAAAAACTTTAGTAAAATGCTGTCGATTTTCTGATATTAAAGATGCCATTGACTTCGCTTTGCAAGAAGAAGCTAGTCAAAATTCGTCAAATATCAGAAATAATCAAAATAATAATATAATATGTTACATTTGCAAAAAACGTGGTCATATTGCTCCACAATGTTTCTTAAATAAAAAGAATAATGCTAATTCAAATAATATTAACCAAAAATTTTGCAATTATTGTAAAAAACCAGGTCATTTAATTTTTGAATGTAGAAATCCAAATCGAAGAAATTTTAATACAAATCGAAATAATTTTAACATGTCAAAAACTTTTATTACCCCTACCAACGAACACAGACAAAAGTGCAACTATTCGCACACACATGCAGAAAATGCATCGAGCTCACATACTCAGTGTATGTCAAACTGTGACGAAAACCAACAATCCACAAATTCCCAAACCCAAGACCCAAAAACAACAATACCAGACAATGATACAATTACAGTACGTGAACTACTAGCACAAAATTCCAATTCATTTTTAATAAACAAAACCGACGAAAAAAAAATAAATTTCAAAAACAAAAATGTTTCGTTACAAATTGAAAATAATACTTTTTGCACAGAACTTAACAAAGAACAAGATTCGAGAATTGAAAAACAGAAATTAAAAGACAAAGACGAAACCAAAGAAACACATGACAAAAACGTTCCAATTTTAACAATATCAAATAACGAAACAAAACAGAAAGACAAAATTTTAAACGACCCACAAATTCCACAAACGCACAAAATGCAATCAGACAAAGTTTTTACAAATAAACGTTCAGAATTTCAAACAAACAAAACGATCAAAAAAGTTGAAGGACCAGTGGTAGTTACAACTACTACCAAACATCGTTATCAACAAACCAAATCAAAGAAATCTTACGACAAGTACATGAAACGACAACGGACATTCAAAGTCGACAATTTAGAATTAATAACGGATAAAAATCCTTATGCAAGTAAATCCAAAAAACTAATGCCTCTATTTAAAGATGCATA